CGCCCCTCTCCTGGGCGGTGGGCTTGGAGCACCCGGCGCCCCCACCCAGGCTCTGTGGGGACCCTCCGTGCCTGGGGGCCCGTTCCCCTGATGCCCCGTTCCCTCCTTCTGGCTGACCGTCCCCGGGGGGCACGGGAGGCTGCCTCTCACTTGATCCCCACCACAACAGCCCTGCAAGGCGGGTCAGGCTGGGAAGGCGTGAGTGCCTGAAGTCACCCGGTGGCTGAACGGCAGCTCGAGGCTGGGTCTCCTTGGTCCAGGTCCAGCCCCTTCATCTTTCCTTCGGCCTCCCCTAACCCGGCACTCTGGGGTGTCTTTAGACTCCAGCCCCCAGAACTCCTAGCCAGCATGCTTGTATTGGCCAGGGAATTCTGGGAGTTGCAGTCCCCGTGCCTACTGAAATTTCCAGGTGGGGAAGTCTGATCTGCAGTCCCTGTTTTCTCATCTGCGGAGGGGCTGGTAAATTCCATATCCAGTACATGGATCTACATGTTTTGTAAATTCCAGTTTAGCCATTTTGCTGTGATTACGTAGACCCACGATGACACAGTAGTCTCCCTTTTTTTAACAGAAACAACCAAGCTCTTCAGCAGAAAAGGCCGTTTTAATTGTATATAAGCGAGTGCATGTTCCTTCTATTCCTTATGTATTGCATCTTAATGCCCTGAATAGTAATGCTTTTTTAACGTATGGCTCCACCAATTAATACGGGCTTCTCATAATCGTTAAGCTGCTGGTGGAATTAATTCAAACGGGTAGCCCTCTTTGGCTGTGATACCATTAAAAGCCTTTTGACCAAGTATTGTGGATTGAAAAGGATGTGCTAAAATCTATAAGCAAATGGTGGGATCTGCATAACGTGCAAAGCAAAGAGGATTTGCGTGCATCTTAGCCGAGGTGGCCTGGGGTCAGGTGGCACCAAAGTCAAAGTCAATAAATAAATAACTGAATTTCTAATGTTGGCTCACCTCCACAAATCTGCTGATCCTGGAGCATTTCTTCCATCTTTCCAGGGAGACACATTTCCACTACACAGGCCTAGAAACATGCTTGTCCTTTTTTCATGGTGAGTGAAAGCTGGTGGTTTCAGCCCCTTGCAAGCTTGAACACCTGTAGTGCCTTTGGGGCACAAGATTACCTCCCTTAGGGCTCCTTCCTGCAGGGGAGGTCGAAAAAGTCAAAATGTCAGCCGCCACTGTGTGAGCAAAGCATGCAACACAGACAAAAGAGGGGCAGGGCTTTGATTTCATGGCCGTGGGTGCCGTCTTGACCTTTTTGACCCCCCGTTGGCCCTGATCCTTCTCATTCTTCCAGACAGAAAGCTGGATCAATTGGCTGGTTCATACGTAGCAATAACCTGGACACGAATTGGACCACGATGAACTTAGTTGCCGTTGAAACGGACTGAGAAGCCGGGCGAGGCTTTCGAATCCCGTTTATTTCATTCGGTAGGAAGGACAGGGCTCCGGCTGAGTTTGCCCCACGGGGCCCGGATTCACAATTCACCGAACCGCAAAGGAAGCGAGAGGGTGGGCTTGGCCGAACAGACCCTTGTGCAGAAGAAATCGACCCCAGGGGGGAATAACCCAGCATTGGCAAGCCAAGGGGTGCAGCCGCAGGATTTGCAAGGGGCTCAGGTCGCGGCTTGGGCGAGCAGGATGGCGGGCCCGGATGCCACAAGGCGGGAGGCCTGGGAGAAACCTGTTCTGCCCGACCTATGGGTGCCGTGGGGAAGGCTGGCTTTGCTCTCCTGCTCCGGTTCAGGCCTTTTAGGTTAGTTAAGCCCGTTTTGGTGCATCTAGCTCAGTGTTTCTCAACCTTGGCGGCTTTAAGACGGGTGGACTTCAACTCCCAGAAT